CCCCCTGAGGAGATATCGTCTATGGTCCTCACCAAGATGGCCGCCATTGCTGACTCCTTTCTGGGACCCACCCCCATTCGGGATGCTGTCATTACCGTCCCAGCCTACTTCAGTGACTCTCAAAGACAGGGCACCAAGGATGCTGGTGCCATTGCCGGCCTCAATGTCATCCGCATCATCAATGAGCCAACTGCCGCCGCCATTGCCTATGGCCTCGACTACAAGGCAGCTGCCGCTGCCTGGGGAGAGAAGAAAAACGTGTTTGTCTTCGACTTAGGCGGTGGCACCTGCGACGTCTCCCTCCTGACGATTGACAAGGGTACCTTTGAGGTGAGGGCCACTGCTGGCGACACCCACCTTGGCGGGGAGGATTTCGACAACCGCATTGTCGCTCACTTTGCCGCCGAGTTTCAGCGCCGGTATAGCAAGGACCTCTCCGAAAACCCTCGAGCCCTACGTAGGCTAAGGACAGCCAGCGAGAGGGCAAAGAGGATTCTCTCGACCAACATTGAGACCACTGTGGACATTGAGTGCCTGCACGAGGGCATTGATTTCTACTCTAGCATTACTCGTGCTAAATTCGAGGATCTCAACATGGACCTGTTTCAAAAGTGCATTGAGCCCGTTGAGAGCTGCCTGAGAGATGCTGGGGTCGACAAAACTTCCATCCATGATGTTGTTCTGGTTGGAGGCTCGAGTAGGATCCCCAAAGTTCAGAAGATGTTGCAGTCTATTTTCGAGGGAAAGGAGCTGTGCAGGAACATCAACCCAGATGAGGCAGTTGCATATGGGGCCGCCGTGCAGGCGGCCATCCTAAGTGGAATAGGGGACGACAAGGTGCAAGACCTTGTCCTCCTCGACGTGACCCCTCTCTCCCTAGGAGTGCAAATTGCAGGGGAGGTCATGTCTGTTGTGGTCCCGCGGAACACGAGTGTCCCCACCCAGAAGGAGCAACAATTCACCACAAGTGCTGATGACCAGACATCTGTGAGTTTCCAGATCTACGAAGGCGAAAGGGCGAGGTCAACGGACAACAACCTGCTCGGGAAGTTCATGCTTGATGGGGTCCCACCTGCCCCGCGACTTGTGCCCAAACTGGACGTGTGCTTCAAAATCGACGTCAATGGGATACTGAGCGTGTCGGCTAAGGAGAGGTCGACGGGCAATATGAACGGG